GTGTACTCATTATGATTGGGTTTACACCACCTTTAAGATCATAAACTTACAGCCAATAATATGTGAGCTGAGCTTTAGTGCTAATGAGTAGCATTACGTTTTATTCATGGCTCCCCAGCTAGTTTGTGTCTGCTTGCTGGCTCAGACTGCCACATGATGTAATTGGGCTGGCAGACGGCTCTGTTTAAAATGTAGTACATGTCTTAGCTAGAGACTTGGCTTTTGGCCAGCTGAAATAAATTTACCCAAAGCTCTACTAACATCAACAAAAAAAAATGCAGGGATTCTTTTTCAGATACTGGACAGAATACTGATTTTGACTTATACAACTGTGAAAAGCATGGTTAATGTAAATATTGTCTTGTGACTTCCAGTTTTGGTAATTTGTAAAAAGATTCTCCAGTAGATCTGATGGACGTTTACTCTCTGTATTTAAATACAGTTATGTGCATTTAGTTTTCTGGCATGGCTTACAAAATGATTATGGGGCAAACATGGTGGAGCCACGTGGCTTTCAAAAGGGGATTGAATAAGCACATGATGAGAGCAGGATGACAGGCAAAGGGTGGTGCCTATGCTAGCACAGTCATAATGGGCTGAATAGCCTCCCTTTGTGCTGCAGTTCTTCCACGATTCTAAGTAAAGTCATTCATTTACAGTGACAGGTTGGACAGACTCGGCCTGTGCTCCCTTGAGTAAAGAAGATTAAGTGGTGATCTAATTGAGACGTCGAAAATGATTAAAGGATTTGAAAGGTTGTAAGATAGAAACTGTTTTCTCAGTGGGGATGGGGGAAGTGGAGAGTCCAGAACAAGGGGCACTGCCTTAAAATTAGAACTTGGCTGGTTCCGGGTGAATTCAGGAATTCAGGCTTTGTCTCCCACAGAGGCCAGTAAAAACCTGGAACTTTTTCCTCCAAAGAGCTATAAAGGTTGGCGGTCAAATTAAAATGTCAAAACGGAGGCTGATAATATGCTACCAACAGGAACCTGAACCAAGTAGATGGAATAAAGGTATGGATTAGGCATCATCTAATGGGATGGTGGAACAGGATTAAGGGACTGAATGGCCCACTACTGTTCCAATTTTCTAAAATAAAACTCAGACTCAAGGAACTGTTCTATTTTGATGTATTAACTTACATGACAGTATAATTATTTACTGTTCAAACTATATATAACTTCGGAGAAGCACTGTGAAGTCTGAAAGGCAGACTGCCAAAAAGAAAAGCTTTCACGGGATTGAGACAGCTACCACTGGTGAGTATCTAAAGTGTTCAGAATGAACAGAATAGAAAGGGGATATTCCTCCTTCTGCATCAGAGACTGGGATCATGGCTGGATTGTACAAAATGGTAAGGATCAAAGAGAAGAGGCATTATGCTGGTATTGGACATCCGAGTGTAGGAGGTCTTGTAACGCAGTCATTGGCACCCTGTACTTCTGAGCCAGAGGGTCCAGATTCAAGCCTCATTCCAGGGCTGGTTGGCTACAAAGGAAGTGTCCATGACGTGGCCAAAGTAGGTCAGTAATCCATCTGCTAATTCTTGTTATATGCCTATGCCAGGTCACAGGAGCAGGAGAGATTTCGTGTCAGCTGCGACTGACAACAGGCCTTTCCAGTGCATTAATATTTCACAGAATTCTCTCATAAATGACTTGAAGGCAGCTTTATCCTAACACTAGATGAATGCAGCGCAAGTAGAAGAACATCTGAGACATTAAAGCACTAATACAATGGAAAAGGGATTTGCTTCTGAATCTTCAATCCTCACTTGCAGAAGATACATCTAGGGAGGAGATGGCCTAGTGGTATTATCCCTAGGCTGAATCTGGCGATCCAGATTCAATTTCTGCCATGGCAGACAGCGGAATTTGAATTTGATAAAATATCTGGAATTAAGAGTCTAATGATGATCATGAATCCACTGTCAATTCTTGGGAAAACCCCATTCTGGTTCGCTAATACCTTTTAGGGAAGGAAACTGCCTTACCTGGTCTGGCCGATATGTGACTCCAGAACCACAACAATGCTTTGGACTCTGAACTGCCCTCTGGGCAATTAGGGATGGGCAATAAAGGCTGGCCTAGCCAGTGATGCCCTCATCCTGGGAATGAATTAAAAAAAAACACAAGAACACAGAATAATTTGCAAACTGGGAGTGGTATAGGTGTTCAGGTGTAGCCTGAATTGGTGACTGCGAATTGCAAGCCGGATTTTCACCTGAATGAAGTGTAAAGCAGGATGGCAAATGACAAGTTGATGTCCAACTTCACTGTCACTTTTTTGTCAACAAGACTCCAATCAGACAATCACACACAATGTACCTGGTTTGACAGGTAAACTGCCAACATTCTGTCTGTGATTTCAAGCCCAGAAACTTAATGATGCTGCCCGCTTCTGGCATGGTGCCCCATGTTGTGAAAGGCATTAATCCACTTATGTCATGCCATCCCAAACAGCCATTCAGGCTGATCTGATGCCAGTGTCCTTCAACACAGTCTGGCATGCCCACTGAATGCTAATTATTCATAACTCATAAGGCGGTTAGCAGTACAAGGACCCACACATACAGTAGAGGTTTAAAAGGCTAACTACTGACTTGCAGGTGAGTTGCGTTTAACTTGATTCTGCTAAGGCAAAATTAGTACAAGTGCCGTGAAATGTGTTTGAGACTGCTACTGCATTCATTCAGGGAGGCAACAGAATTTTAGATTAGTCAGTCGTTGCCCTTCATTGCAGCTCCAGGAATAATCAGAAGCTGGTTTCTCAGGAACAAAGGCTACCTTGTGTATGTGACTCATGATCAACCTTCTACCACTCAACCAGGCAAGGACAGTGAACATTTAAATGTCACTGGGACACAAGGAACCATTGGCAGTGCTGAACAATTCCTTAAGCACCTCCGCCGCCATCTTGGGAGTGTCCTGCTGCAGACTTGAAAATAATGCAGTTGCTTTGTAAGTCAACATACGAGCAAGACATCCTGCCCAGCAGAATTGATTTTCAGTCATTAACACCTTGATACTTGATGTTGGCTTAGGAGAGGAAGCTGCTGTTGGACCACCTTTTGTGTCGCTAGATTTAGAAGATCCTGTAAAGGTCTACCTCACAGTACTTCTCCAGTGCTTGGAGACATGTGGGAGCACACATGCCACGTCAGATAGCAAAGTCTTCAGTCTGTCCAGACAGAGCAAAATCAGGAAAACGACGTATTCTGAACAGAGTACAATTCTACACTGTTGTGGTGGTTGCTCACATGGGAACTCGGCAATATTAAAAAAAAAACCTCATGGTTGTCTCTCTCCTGCTTGTAACTGGTTCTTGTTGACCATAAGCATATAGAAAATATATAAACACTTAACAGAAGCAGAACCAATAATAGGAAATGCTGTGGAATGTCTTAAGGATGTAAGATATTACTCAAGGGGTGTAAATGTTGTTTTAAAAGGACATGTTTATGACTTCACTGAGTAGTGACCAAACTAAACCTCGTTCTCAGGAATCTGATCACCTATTGTGATGAGGCACATGTTGGTGCTTGTGACTAAATGTTGCAAAGCTCACACCCTACGTGAGGAAGTAATGTGAACCAAAGTTAAGACAACATGCAAGTTCTTTTATTTCACTGTATTTAGAAATCTCATTTGGGCTATTACAGTTCATTGAGGGGAGGGTGGCAGGATAGGGAGGCAAAGAACAATTTCCTGCCCATTCACATAATCGGGTGGAAAATCACAGGCTGGCAAGCTTGGCGAGGAAAGTCCTATATCTCATGTCCTGACATGCAGAAATGGGTTCAGAGCTCCTTCCCTCACCACACACAAGCATCAAACTACAGTTCACATATTACAGGAGTTTAGGTTTTGCAGGACTTGTAAACCTGTTTGACATCCAAACTTGTTAGTGCACTTATCAGGGATCAGTAAACAGGAAACCTTTAGTCACTTTCTGCAATGCTTAATCAAAAACTAGAAACTGTAAAATAATTTCTCTCAAGGGCTTCTTGTCTTATAGCTCATTAAAGTGCAAGTCCTCCTCATTGACTCATTGCAAACAGTATTTGCATTTGCGTGGCAATTTATCAATAGAAATATGCCAAACTGTCACATGATTAATTTCTTTTGAAGTACAGTGACTGTTCTGGTTTTTGCAGTTAACAACCAGAACGCATTTAAACAGCTGTGACCAAGGATCCAGACAAAATAGGAACTCATTAATTCTCACCGTGAATATCACCAAATATATTCATTGTTTGAGCACCACATGGATTTTGTTTTAGATTTTCAGTATCCGCAGTCATTTCATTTTTGTTTACACTTTTTAATTTAAGGTATTTTGCTTGTGTTAATTGTCATTATGGATTGATGTAACACCATCAGAACATACCTTCACAACCGCCATCTCTGCAACAGCCCTATCCACACTTCCATTACACCCAAAAAAAACCTCTTTGCTCTGTACTTCCTTAAAACCTGCTACACCTCTAATCTGTTTCAGTCCTGATGAAAAGTCACTGTCTTGAAACAATAACTCAATTTCTCTCTCTACCGATGCTGCTTGGCTTGCTGGATGTTTCCACTGTTTTGTGTTGAGGTTACAGATTTCTAACAAGTACAGTACTTTTGCCTTTGAAATGTGATATCTGTTCTGTCTTAAAATGTCACTCCTTAAATTAAATATGGTGCAAGTTCTACCATTTCTAACATTCTAGGGAAAACAATAAGAGGTTTCTGATTACTCCAGGGAGATAGATGTCTCTGTGCGGGTTGCACTAAAGCTATAAATATGTTTAAGACCTAACTACAAACAAAATAAAGCTTCCTCAGAGGAGTGTCAGTTGATGTCACCAAATCTCATAATCAAGCTACTGGGATATTGGAAACCAATGAGAATACTACCACTGAACCATAGCTGATTAGTATGGACCAATTAGCAAATTCACAGTAATTCAAATACAAGTTGAAAATATTTTTCTTTAAAAATTCTGCAGCCGCAAATTCAATGGATAGAATTTTTTATTATAAAAAAGTTACATTAAAAAGCATGCATTAAATAAAGGAAGTACTACCACCTTACAGCAGTGAACTCAAGTCAATCCGAATTTGAATCAATGCAAATTCAAGGCGATGGTTTTAAGTAGTTTCACAGAGTCATGTGAAAGATAATCCACATTCAGTCTCACTTTAGCCATCACCCTGATTATGTGCCTCAGAATGTACACAGTATTGTACACATCATACGATGTATGAAGGAATTAATCCACGTTACAGAAATGAGAATGTTCATGATAGAAAAATGTTCACATGTCCAATTTTTTCCACTTGAATGGTCTGTGAAATAGTCAGTTGTAAAAGAATATAAGCAGAAGAAAATGGAATAGATATGTCTCATACACACAAAATAGATGTGATGAGATTTGGTAGCAGCTATTTTACAGTTTCAGTGCCAGAATCCAATTACATCTTAGTGCAATATGTTGCATCCTACAGGACTTGAAAAACTGATTGTTCATTCTTCATGTTCAATACGATGTCCAATAACGTAGCATGACCGAAGAATTAATGGAGAGGCTTAAAATCCAAAGAAATCAGTCTTTTTTCATGAACTAGGATGACTTTACTTGCTGCGCAGTCTGTTGATTATCTAGACACTCCTGGAGTTTGTCTTCGGTCATCGTTAAGCGCTGTTCTAAGATTGACACTGTCTAGAGACAAATGTAATACAGTAATTAATTACTTGGACATTTACTGTAGATGAAGTAATACATTAGCAGACATTTATTAAGGGACAGGATAAAGCTGAGGTTAATACAAAGGCATTATTTTAGTGAGTGATTATTTGGTGTGGTTTTCAACATTTAATCAGGAACTTAAGAACTCCAAGTGTTTGTACTCAGGGAAAACAAAACGATACTTCAGTATTTTACCCTACTAATCTTTCACTAATGCTGACGAGAAGCCAATGGCATCTTCATATAATGCTCTCATTATTGAGAGAAGTGTCTGCAGGGATCAGAGTTTAAATTCAAACCAGATTGATGCAAAGAAAGCTTCTAGCTGTAACTACTTGGAAGAAAGAATATAAAAATATTATATCAGTGCTTAAAAGGCTACAAAAACTGTAAATGATAGATAGATTGCTGGGTGGCTGGTGGGACACTCCTCAGCTCAAGTTCTCCAATATCCTCTTTGCCAGTCTGTCATCCTCTAAATTGCTTCTGAATGTGCACTGTTCTAAAACCCAAACTCAACTCTGACTCAGAGTTTATGAGCTTGAGGGCAATTCCAGATTATGTCTCTCTCTCTCTCTCTCTCTTCAGGTACCAGCTCTAAGACAGCAGTAGTGATGACAGGCTTCCATCATGTTGGTCCATGCTGGTTTCCTATATTAAGTGTAAAATTCTGATCTTCAACGCTTGGCCCCATCCTACCTCTGCAATCTCCTCTACATTACCGGTCCTCTGGGTAAAACGCCATGGAATATTTTCTGAGTAAATATAACATGCTGTTTTTGACATTAGATTTCACCACAAAGATTCTCAATCACACTCAAGTTGATCTAATGAAGCATTTAATGAAGTCTTAAGTAGAAAGGTAAAATCAGAGCCCAATAATTAACATATCTCCTAACACAAGATTGGTAGAGCTATCAAACAGATGAAAATCTTAAGGGATTGCTCAGGGAATGATGCACAAAGATTTGGCTCCATGATTTTGTTTCCCTCTTCAAATTCTTATCCAATTCTCTTTGAAAGATGTCTATTTCGGTTTCAGGCAGTACATTCCACATCACAACAACCAGCTGTGTTTACAAAAATATTCTCTCAAGTCCATTTTAAATTGTCGTCCCCTGATTACTGACTCTCCTGTTTTCGGAAACAGTCTCTCTACTTACTCTTCTGAAACGTTTTTAAACTTCTCCAATCTCTCCATACAAGTAAAGACTTTCATCCATAAAAACCTTTCCAACAAATGTGTTTTGGACCGTCACCAAGATCTTAACACCTCTCCTAAAGTGTGAAAGTGTGATGGCCAGAAATGAACACACCCCTCCATATTTCATAGTTCAGTTCGAATACAAAAATTAATCTCTTGCTTTGCTAATGATATTTCTTTCTATTTTGTTTTAACTGCATCCTAATTGTTGCTGTTGCTACCATATGACAGTATCGTTTTTGTATGTTTGTCCAGGATAAAGTTTAAGCAGCTTGTTGATCTGTACCAGCCAATATCAACACCATTGTCTCCTGAGAAATAGGGGGCAAGAGAAAACAGACACAGATTTCCAGATTTACATTTAAAAATATTTCATATACTAAATCAACGAACTCCTGATGAGAGGCTAGAGACTTGGACCCACAACTTGGGAATGAGACAAATCTGAAGTTGCAAACAAACGCTCTGGATGGAGGAATGTCAAACTATTTCAACAGTACAACAGTGAGAAACTACAAATTGCAAATTCACAGTGATACTTTCAGATGTGTGCACTTAGAGTTTTTCTTTTCCAGCTGCACGCACAATTGGAAGATGACAACAGTTGTAGTATAAATTGATCCTGAAACCAAAGGCCACAATTATCCGAGCTGTCTTCTGTAATGAGTCTGTCGCACAGACTGAAAAAATTACAAGACAACTTATTATTAATCAAAAGAAGAGTACACCTAAGTTAGGGTTTTAACTAAGATAGCACTCTTATAATGAAAGCTATGTTAATAGTCTACCATACACAGACAAAAACAATCTATTTCAGGCCTCAAGTATTGCTTTCAAAAACTCATTTTTATATGATTATTTTTGAGTTGTTGCAATGCAGTTTAAAAGTCAAAATAAAATAAAGAACTGCAGAACAGGAGATCAGTAATCAGTAACCAAACTCATAAAAGTCACAGATGAAAATATCATCTGGCCAATCAAAATTCATCTCTTCAATACCCAATTTATCTAATATAACGTTCAGTAATAGATTCACTTAACACAGCATACCATCCGGACATTAGGTGTGTGCTAGCTCTGAAAATACCAAACACACAACACTTGTTGGAAATTGGGGTCACCTTTAAAACTGTATTTAATATTTTCCGTGTAGCACGAGACCTCACTTAACTCGTGTTACAGTAGTAACTAGCCTTGTCCAAATGACAAAAGATTCATCAGCCATCACACTACCCTATTAGAAATGCAATGTTTAGGAAAATAAGAAGGTTTTGTCCTTAGAAAGAGTGAAAACTAACTTTTGAATGAAGATGGACAAGGGGACAATCCTGGTATCAAGAGTAGCTGCCGGTGACAATGGCTAAGAGGATTTAGACAGATGAGTGACACAGCATAGATTCCCAAACCCCAAAATAAGGCATATCAACAGTGATTGGTGAGGAGACACGAGCAGCTAGAGGATTTAGGGTAACAAGCCACCATCTTCTTCGGAGAAGACTAGGAGTTCTCCTACAACAGCCTGAGGGAAGATCAAACTCTGTTACCACCCAAAGAATGCACAACATTAGTGACGAGCACTGCACTACTTCAAAACAACCACTCTTGCTCCTTCCAAGCATTCTCATTTCTCATGGTCTATACTTGCTTTGTATCATCATTGCTTGCAATCATTCACTAAGAATATGACTGTCCACTGTTGTATGGAGGTTGAATTCTACCTTGTGCAGAACATCTTTTAATGTGGGAATGCCGTTAACATTTGCAGATACATGGCCCTTGACTGAAGACAGATTCAGTTTCAGTGGCAAGGAAACCTTGACTGGGGATCTCCCTACTCTGGCAGCCCTCATCTACCATCACAGCTGCTAATATCACACAAGTATCTTTAGCCTGAATTGCAGTTGAGGACTGGGATTGCGTTTTGTCTGGTTGTTCCCCTCCAATATTACTGTCATGGGTGACTCTGCCAGGAGTTAAGAACTCCTAATGACATCAATCTCTGGATGAACTGAACACTCAAACCTATCTAACTAATGTATCAAATCTAAACTACTGCTCAAAAAAATCCAATAAACAATCAGAAAACTGCTACAAATTGTTGACTCCTATATTAGCCAAATGTGATCACAAGCCTCCCAAAGTAAACACACTTCAAACATGTCCTTTAAAATTTCTCCTTTACAAATTTTAAAGCTTTTCAATTCTGCCTTCATTATTGCTTCTGCTATTGAACTCCTTCTGCTAGCAACACTTCGAATGGGTATGTTCTCCTAATCTTTCCCATTTTCTGATGATTTAGCCTCATAGTTATTAGTGATTAATCATGTGGTGAAAGTAGATCTTCCTATTTACCTCATTAAAACCACTCTATTTTGACACAATTACATCTTTTTAGGATAAACACTGGAAATATTCCTTTACCAGTCTTTAAATAGTGGCTAAAGATCTTTTTGCATCCACCCAAGATGACAGATAGTATCTCAGTTTAATGTCACACCCTAAAGAAAGTACTCTGTCCTGCATCCTTACCCTTACAATGTAAAACATTGGCTATTACTTTGAGCATCGATTAACAAACTCAAAATAAAGTTGCTGGATGCCCATTTTCTTCCTACAAAAAGACCTCCTAGTGACTACCGTAACAAATCTATCAAATTTAATCTGGGTAAAAACTGAAAGAACCGCAGATGCTGTAAATCAGGGACAAAAACAGAAGTTGCTAGAAAAGCTCTGCAGCATCTGTGAAGAAAAAAAAAATCAAGAGTGACCGGACCCGAAACGTTAACCTTGATTTTTTCTTCACAGATGCTGTCAGGCCTGCTGAAATTTAATCTGGGGTTGCTGAAGGCTGTGTAGGGGTAGTTCCCAGGCTCCAAGATACTGCAAAGTAGATTATATCTTTGTACTTATCCTTAATTCATTACTTCCAAAATAAATTCAATTAGAACTCGCAACGTGCTAGTTGTCATTTTGCTTTACAGGTTTGTAGCCACCACTGAAGTAACAGTCTTGTCAATTAGCAACTCTTTAGCTACAAAAAGAAATTCCCAGAGGTAATTTCTTCACCAATTATCAGCTCCTTAAGTGTGATTAGGAATCACCCATCTCGTTCCCTAGTCAGCCCCCTATGGTTCCTTTCCATGTTGTGATATTGTCATCAGGATAGGATTCATTACCACTCCTTTTCCTCTTGAAAAGTGATAAACAAACCTGATACATGCACACTTCCCCAACCGTTGCAGAGCTTCTCCTGTAGTACACAACTGCTCTTATTTTGTGCCCAGGGAACTCGTCCTACCATCTTCACAAATGTCTTGTAGAGCCACTGACAAACTCAAAGTAAAGTTGCTTCCCTCAAAAAGACCTCCAAGTCACTTCCACAACAAATTTAATGAGGGGTTGCTGAAGGTCGTGCAAGAATAGGTTCCAGACTCCAGCAGCACTAACATTCCTTCCAATGAAATATAAAAGCAAAGAAACGGAACTGATTTGGCAATAAGGGAGTCTGCGCTTTCATTACGTTATGAGGTTACAAGAGTACTAAATTTATGTTAGAATCTGGTTAGGTACCAGTAACAATTCTTATTTAAAGTAAACAAAGTACAAAGATTACAAATACTCAAAGAAAGTAAAGCCACAGGATTCCATGATATTGAATAAAAGGAAGTTTACTATCCAGTTAGCAAAACAATTTACAATTTCTTTACAACGTGTACTCAGTTATTCACAATTATTATGAGGTGGATATAAATTAACAGACACACTGTGG